GCAGGGAACTCTGCAAAAAACGCATCTTCGCACGGGCAGCCCGTGCGTTGGCCAATTTTTTACAGTTTGATACGCGAAACATATTAGATGTTTTTTTAGACTTTTTTTGCACGTTGGACCGCCACCATCTCATCATCTTCGCTATCTTGATTTTCTAGTTGCGAGGGTGGCTTTCCTTTGGATGCATGGAGATATTGGGCATCGGATGGTATTGTTACCGGGAGTAACTATGTGGAGCACAGTGGCTGCTGGCCATATCCGTTTCCACCCTGCGAGCATCACAACAACAAGACGCGTTATCCTCCGTGCAAGCATGAGCTCTATCCAACGCCAAAATGCAGAAAAAAGTGTGGTCGCGAATACGGAAGATCTTATAGAGTTGACAAGTATTACGGTTAGTAAATGATATAATATTTTTTCTACCAGCGTTCGTATACCGTCAGTTGTGGTACCACAAATTTGAAATTTTGAACTGAGCACAGCTACACCCGGCGCCTTGTTCTTTGACAGTATTTGAGCACTGCGCAAATAGTTTGCTCAAATCAAATCATATTATGAAATGATTACTTCCACCAACATGCGCGTCCTTTTCCACTCAATCTGGCCGCAGCAGGATTTTCTTTTATTTTAATAATTTAGGCCTGTTATTTAGATACTTACGAATTTAGGTATTTAAAATTTAGAAAGCCCAGATTTTCGGAAAATAGCCTGTGAGCAGCAATAGCATCAAAGCCTATAGTCAGCTCAAACTTTCGCTGCGCTTTGATCTGTGTTCCTAGGTCAAAATTTCAACCAGTTTTGAAGCTCGTGAAGGAAAATTCTGAGTAATTAACTTGCCAAATACGTGGAGTTGAAAACTTGGAAGAAAGGTCCCGAATTTTGATTTATCTAAGCAAATCCGGCACAGTTTTATATAAATTGTAAAGCACCATTTGCGAACCGAAAGTCTGCGGAGATTTACATACCATTTCTTTGAAGACGAGGTCAAACCAAGACTTCATTATTGTTTGATAGG